AGAAACTATAGAAAATATAAATTTGTACAACGTAAAAGAAGTAAGTGTCACATTTAAACTAACAATGGTGAAAGAAGCTTATTGCAAACTGTGAATTACAGACACAGATCATGTGGTTCTCCAGAGGTGATGTGTTCATGAGAAAGGATGCACGGTATGAAACATGCCAAATAAATGGGACGTGTCTTGTGTTTGAGTCGATACCTTTTTACTAGCATGCACCTTTCGCAAATTGCGAGCGCCATTGGTCTCCTGAGGAAAACGGAGGATGAGTTAGAGAAGCAACATGCACTTGTTTAGTGGCGTCAGAGGGAGTCAGCCAACATGCCACAGCCTCGGTGACACGCGTGCGAATTAGACAGTGATGATGGAGCTCGACAGCCGGTGAGACATGGAGATTAGAGAAACAAAAGTGTGTCAGGGTGCAGACGTGTACGTCCACAACAATCACAGTGAGCGTCTCCCCGTCACACACGAGGTGGTGATGAGGATGAGGAGGAGCAAAGTGAGGATGAGGTTTAAGAGGAGGAAGGTTAGGATTCAGATTCGTTCTGTCCTGCAGACACGACGGGATCAGGACTCACCACACCCTGCCACAGGATCAGACCCTCAGAGGAGCCAGTGTTGATCTCCAGTTCGATGGTCTCTGGTGAGTCATGGGCGCTAAAAACAAAAAGAGACGTTTGAAGCATCAACTCCTGATAATTCTCTAAAAAAATATGACGGAACGAAGTTAAAGATGAAAACTTTACCTTCTTGGGAAAATGGATTTCGGGAGGGCGACGTATCCGTCATTGTGGAAATGAGCTGCATATTGATAAGGAGAATCTAGAAAAAAGTACGACAAGAAAATTAAAAGAGGATTATAATTAAAGTGAGGCTGGTGTGAACTTTCATCCTCGGTGTTACGACGCCCTCCAGTGGTGAAAGCATGGAAGAACCCCTGGTAACACAGGCTTGGTTAGATACAACGAACATGATTTAGGTTTTTTTTTTAAAGAGAGAGAATGAAACTGCTGAAGGAGGAAACAACACAATCTTCCTCTTACAAATGAAACTGGAATATATGTGCTCAGTTAAAAACATTTTGCTGCTTCAGCCTTGATCCTTTGACAATTAGAGAATGTTTGTTTTATTTGGTCGATGAATGAAATCAACTTGTAATTAAAGATATTTGCTCGTCACTTCCCTTTGAATGAACGGAATCATATCTGGGGAAGTGATGAAGTCGACTCTAAACTTTATGCTTCTGCTGGAATCAAGAAACATTTCAAAGGGGAGTTTTTAATTCTGCTGTGAGGCGACAACGCCAACCACTCTACCACCGTGCCACCCAAGGTTGATCTTGCTAAAACACATCATCACATCATGAAGAGACGGAACAGACTCAGTCGTGTCTTTCGTCTCACAGCACGATCCGACTTAAGTTTCCTAACTGGAGCTAACACTCGTGGTCATAAGGCTGCAGAAGCAAAATATAGTAAATGAACTGAAATGATCAGGGTTCCTTTAGATTATATATTTATGTCTAGTTTCTTTTCAAGCACACACATGAAATAAAATGTAATAATCCTAAATTTCATCAAGGGCCCTGGATCGACAAATTCTCCAAATTAAAAAAAAAAAGCACCAAAACCAGAGTAAAACCAAAACGCATGATGCAGAATCTTTCATTCCTCGCACTGCACACTATCCTCGACCTTCCACAGAGACGGGCCTGAGCTCGCCTCCACCTCCACCTCCACCTCCACCTCCACCTCCATGCACAAACAACACCTCAAGCACACAATATGCTCGACGTCTCAGCAACTCTCACACTGAGCTTTCAGCAGAAACTTGAAAATGTTAGTGGCAGCGCAGATGTGTGGACACGGAGCAGTTTTTAATGTTCGGACTCGGACGGTTTCAGTTGGAAAGTGTTGGTTTTCTTGTTGTAGACAGATGAGGAGTTTTTAAAGTAGACGGAAGGTTTCATGTTGTGAGTAGCCACCTGACAGAGAAAAATGAAAACAAGGGGAATTCCACATTTTAGTGTTAAAAGCTTCAAATATATGAGAGGGAGGAAATAGATCCCAACACCGTTTATTAAAGATGCAGAATTCCCCTCTCCAAACTTTCCGGTGGGGGTGAGAGCCTCAGCGGCCAGCCGAGGGCACGTTTGGTTTTGTGTTGGAACATGTGTTAGTCAGTTCGGGATGAGCTTGGAGGGGTCGTGGGGCCCCCCCTCAGAGCTCGGACGGGGCCCCCCTGTTAGTCACGGTGCTTTCAGGCAGACTGAACGTTGGGATACTGTACCATTTGCCACGCTGGCTTGCAAATTCCGCAGGGCCGCTGGGAAGCTGGAGACGTGGCCTGTGTGTGCAGGATATAGCCATGAGAGCGCAGGGGTGAGACACACGTAAATCACTTTGGGGTTAACCCTCCCAGCATGCTTTGCAACGGTGGGAGCGAGTCGTGTGGTGTTCAGAGCGACTCCATAGTGTGAAGGGTGTCATGTGAGATTTGTTTCTGGATGTGTGTGTATATGTTTCTTTTCTATGTGTCCAATGACAGGAAACAATGTGGCTGCTACTGAAACTGAATCATTAAAAAATAACAAAACATTGGATTTAATTGTTTTACATACGTGATGATGGAGATATAGTTGAATACTCACTCTCTTCGCAGGTGAGGCCTGCGTACCCGGGCACGCACACACACTGACCGCTGACGCAGCTGCCGCCGTTCTGGCACTGGAGGTCGCTCTGGCACGCGTCTTTCACCACCTCACAACGCTCACCTGCAGGGACACACACCAGTCGTGGATCAGGGGTGAAAGGTCAAAGGGTCACACCCGAAGGGAGGGCGAGTTCACAGAGCTCGGAGGTTAAAGTTGCTTTTTAGGGACTTAAACAGAAAAATATTCATCATTTTATCAATTAGAAAGTTAAAAAATAAATTATATTGAGTAAAACATTGTAGAAAACACACATGTGATGCAGAGAATCTCACCAGGAAACAGAATTTTGCATTAAAATGATAATTTCACAGTTTCAACGACCTCTGGGCAGATTTCACACGTGCTGTGTCTTTGACACCTTCGGGCACCAACCTTCGAATCCATCCTTGCAGAGACACTGGTACTCGTACTCAGCGCTGGACATGCAGTGACCTCCGTTCAGGCATGGCCGGCGGTCGCAGGGGCTGTTGTCCACGCACTTGAGGACAGCTCTACTTTCTGTGAAGCTGTAGGACAGATCCACCTTCTTGTTGTTGATGGAAACCTGAGCAGGCAGAGCAACACGTTAAAGCTTCTCGTTAAAGGAAAAAGTATTTATGGACTAAATGAACTCACGCAGAGATCTCACCTCTCCGATACATCCCCCAAACATTTCGCTGACGTTGGCGGCTTTAGGCAGGATGTCCATATTGGGGACTCCTCCCAAGTACATGGGCGTGTGGATATTGAGGCCCTGGGCTTTTCCCGGAGATGTCTTCCTCTCCACTTGGCCTTGGTCGACCTTCAGGTGGCCGACCCGCTTGTTCCGCTCGGCCACAACTCTGTGCCACTGGCCCAGAGACACGGGCTCGGGACTGCGGAGGATTGCCTGGCCTGAAAATCAGAATACGTCCACAGATATTGGACTTTAGATCTGAAGGGCGCATGAATGGAAAACTTCAGTTGAGTCGACTTTACCTGTTCCCAGTTCGTATCTGAACTCTACATGTCCCTCCACCATGGAGATGCCTACGAAATCCTCCACCTTCATTTTCTTCCCACCGCAGAAGAACATCAGGCCGTCTCCACGCAGCGGCTTGAACTCCATCTCGACTCGCAGGTCATCGTGGATATTGGTCAGGGGAGGATAGGCTATGTACGTCTCCTTTCCATCAAACAGTGGAGTGGTCACCAGTTCCCCTTGTGGAAGAGAAAAATGCATCAAAGGTTAGAATATATTTTATAAAACTGCTTCAAAATACCGAAGACGATGTCGTATCTCTTCCTGAAAACATTTTCGTTTCCTGTCTTACCATCCATGCATTTGTTTCCAAACTTCCCGAGGTGGCAGCGGCAGTCGTAGCCGAGGCCGTTGGGTCGGTTGATGCACGTGGCGTCTGGTCCGCAGGCCTCTGTGGGAGTTCAGGTGAAAAATAAAAACAAATGAGTGACCGCCTCTTTTATCCGCGGGTATAACGCTGCCCTGCTGATACTTTGATTTGTCTCCATGTACCTGAGTGACAGTGCAGGGACGAGTGGTGCTGGCAGTTGCTGCCGGTGAATCCTCTGGGGCAGCTGCACTTATACAAGCTGGCGTCTGAGTCCTCGCACCTGCCGCCGTTCTGAATCACAGGAGAGAAATCCTCATGACATCACGGAAGTGAACGCAGGTCAGCGGCTACAAACACACGGAGCGGACGGACGTAACTGACCTGACATGGGTGATCTTTGCAGGTGGGACAGTTGGAGACGCCGGTCGAGCTGCGGTCAAGGTCTTTGAAGATGACTTCCTCCCCCTGGATGACCAGTTGTCGGATGCAGCCTGCGCACAGCACTGGGATGTGAGTCATCACACGCTAACATCTACTTCACACTGTGTTTCCATTCTGGGCGATGTCTTACCAACAAACCCTGTCTTGATGCCAGCGGTTTTGGCGAGGGCCGTGTAGTTGGGGTAACCGCCCACGTGCAGCTCCTCGTTCAGATCCAGACCCTGGAACTTGCCCTGAAAGAGAAGGAAGTGATCATTAACTCTGTATTCATCAGAATTCATCAAATGCATGTTGGATTCAATTCCCTCTGACGTGAGCACCTGTGAGCTGCCGTTGATCGGCTCCCCTCCGTCTACGGTGATGTAGCCCAGGGTGTGGTTGCGATACAGCTCGACGGTGTGGAACTCTCCCAGCTTGATGGGGTTGGGGTCTCGTATCGTGGCCATGCCGGAGCCGACGTCAAACCTGGAGTCAGCACAGTGGATTTAGACAATGACGGCTCATCATTAAGCTTCATGACGATGTTTTGAGGTTTCTGTCCTTTCCAGCAACTCGTCAGACATTTTAATATCTGTCAATCAAATTTTCTCTTTCTCTAACCTCTGGTTAGTTGACGACTGCTCGACCGCCTGGGCCACACAGCCGATCCCTCACTTGTTTCGGAGTATTAGCCCTTTAATGCTAATTATAGATTAAATGAATCGATACAGATAAAATTTAACTGAGAACTGACCTGAACTCCAAGCGACCGCCCACAAGTCCCAGAGAGATAAAGTCGGCTCCCGTGGTTCGTCTCTGGCCGTTGTAGAGAATCATACCTGCACCACAAACACAGGATTAGTGAACACTGGTACAAAGTGACCATGAATGTACATCGACAATAATATCCATCTCAATAAGTCAACAAATCCACCACCTGTACTTTAATTCAAATAAGACAAATTTTCCACATCAGGAAAATCTAAATTTTAGACTTTAGATATATATATGTGTGTATTTATATATATATATACAAAACAAGTGGACGTGACTTGTCAGGATGGACCTTGTTTGTGATGCAGTAAATCACACGCAGGATGAACTCTTTGAAAGCAGAATGGTGAAGCAGCATGCTATGGTGAGGCGAGTTCAAAGCCAACCAAAGCCAAGTTATAACCTCCGACCACCGGGCTGCACAGTGCAACCGGTTACACTCATAAACTACCAGTCTTCACTTTTCTTTCTCCGCATGCTGGATGTTAACATGCTTCTATGAACCATACACGTCTTTATATCCTGTAGATTTTGCAATGATTTAATGAATTACTGACGATCAGAAGCTGCAGGTCAAAACCTTGAATTGTTAACACAAGGACGTAGATTTTGTTTTTTAATCTTTCATGCATTATATCCTTATTTATCATTTTAAGTGTTTTGGGGGCAGGTACAATATTCAACTCACTTTTATTCTGCATTGTTATTCTGAGTCTTACACGATATGTCCTCGTGTTCTGCTGTTTGTTGTACAATGTTCTGTTCTGCAGCTGCTGCAGCACTTTGGTCCGAGAAATATTTTCAGTGGGTAGTACTTTTTTTGTTGTATCTGGCGTAACTGCAGTGATGTTTCAATTACTGCAAATATTCTTAGACGTACTCAAATATGATTAAAACATTGTATTGGTTAAGTTTTAACAGACGCTGACTGTGATTGGAGCTGTGCCGCTTTACAGGCCGTGTAGAAGCTGATGAAGTAACCAAGCTTTTATTATGTAATACTCCGAATGACCGAACATCGCGTCGGCTCCGGTATAAAGAACATAGGCCATGCACCGTATTGCATCACTTTCACGGCCCCTAAATCTGCTCTGAGATGGATGCACGATGTGAAAGTCTGATGCAGCCAAATAAAAAAACAACATTAGCCTTGAGCTCCTGTGGATCTCAAGCACTGAGACTCACCAGCGTACAAAATGAGACCTTCCCACCATGTGGGTGAGAGGAGGAGGAGGAGGAGGGGGAGGAGGAGGAGGAGGAGGAGGGGACAGAAGACGCAGTAAGATTATACACAAAGATTAATGACATAGAACATAAAATACACTGATTCAAAAAGAAGAATCAATTAAAAAGTATAAATGAATAAACTTCACACTGTGAAGATTTAAGGTTGAACTTTCTTACCATCGACATTATCAGGTCTAAAGTTGATCTTGATGCTGAAAGACTTGTAGGCGTTCTTGATGGTGGGCAGAGTGAGGTAGGACAAAGGTTCCTGAGCAAAGTACGGCATCACTCTCTCTGGAAAAAAACACATCAACTCATCATTAAATACAACTGTTCAGTCCATACCTCTCATTTATTAGAGCTCCACTCTGCAGACTGACCGTGAACCTGAAGAGTAGTAAAGGCCTCCACTTTGCCCTGTTTGTTAGAGGCGGTGCACACGTATGTCCCAGAATCCTCGTAGGCTACGCGAGGAACCGTCAGCACGTTGACATCCTGGAAACACTTTGGAGCAAGCTCTCCGTCCAGCTAGATGAAGAAACAGTTTATCAGATGACATCAGCATCGACGAGCATCGTTAGAGACGACGTTAGACGACATGTAAAGACAAGAGAGCATGTTGAATATTTAGATTTCAGGAAGGACGTAGTTACCTTGGACCATTTGATCTCAGGTACAGGATACCCAGAGGCCACGCAGGGCAAGACAGCATCAGACCCGACCGTCACCTCTTTTGTTTCTGGCAGTGCAGCAATTTGAGGAAGGGCTGCGCAAAGAGGGATGAAAGAATAATTTACGTTGTGCTTTTCAAATCATCCGTTCACACACACGTGTTCTATCAAACGTCACAGGACACTTCGGCACGCAGACTGGAGTAGCCGGGAATGGAACCCCCAACGTTCTGGTCAGTTGATGACCTGCTCTGCTTCCTGAGGCAGCAGAGGACATCAGTGTCTCCAGTCAACTCACACTGCACGTTCAGCACCACCTGGGACTGCACCGAGCCCACGTCGTTGGTGGCGGTGCAGCGGTACTGCCCGGCGTCGGCCTCCGTCACTCGCTCGATCTTCAGCATGCCGCCCTTCACCATGATGTGGGCCGGCAGCGACCCGCCGACTTTACTCCACTGCACCGTGGGCTCCGGGTCCCCGACCGCCTGGCATTCAAACTCCACGGAGTTGCCGATCATCACAGTCTGCACTGAGGTACGCACGTTGATCATCACCTTCGGCAGGGCTGAGGGACGGAGACGGGAAGGAGAAAAAATAAAAAGACGATACACGTAATGGAAACAAAGCGAAGGAGTGTTTGCGTGTTACGGACCCTGGATGGTGAGTCTGGCTGTGTCCTGGGCCTGACCGTACACACTGCTCGCTCTGCAGATGTAAACACCTTCATTGCTCTGTTCAAGATTCTCGATCCTGCAGACACACGTTAAATCAAACACACGAAAACAAGTTTTTACTTTGCATATCAATATTGCCACATTCGTTTTTGAGTAAACTTTGAGTAAACTTGCCAGTTTGGTCTTTTAATATCAAACATATCCAAACATTCGAAGCTGGTTTTGTCTCGTACTGTTGCTTATTTACAGCGAACCAACAAACGGCACCACGAGTCACCTGAGCACGCCATCCTTGACGTGGTGGTTAGGCGGCAGAGCACCTCCTTCTTTCAGCCACTCGATTTTGGTTTCGATCCCGCCGGCCGCCGAACAGGTGAACTCCACCGCGCTGCCCTGGGCCTTTACCTCGACCTGGGGTGACACACGCACTGCCAGAGGGGCTGGAGGAGGAAAGACGAGTAATTCACGTGTTGTTGTGCAACAGAAATATTTTACACATTAGATGCGTTTAGATGCTGCTCAGAGAGAAGAAGCATTTTTGTGGTGAAAGTCTTTTAGTGTTGAGACACTTACATCTGACTGTGACCTTGGCCACCACTTCACTGTTGCCCACTTTGTTGCTGGCCACACACTTGTAGCTCCCAGCATCCTCGGCAGTAGCCAGGTTGATCTGGAGGTCGCCTCCGCTGACCTGAGCCCTCGGGGACAGGCCTCCATCCAGCTTGCTCCAGGTGTAGGTCAGAGGAGGCGTGCCGTGAGCCAGGCACTGCAGCCTGATCACCTCCCCGACCCGCACGGCCACGTCATCGGGCACAGACGTGGCATAAGGAAGAGCTGAAGATGGGAGGGAACAATCTTTTATATTGATATACATACATATTAAACACTGAGAGGGGATCTCTACGTGTTGCATAATATGACTCAGATTATTATGTGGACTAAACAACCCTCACTTTCCACATCCAGCATGATGGTGACCTCAGTGGTGCCCATGTTGTTGGTGGCTCTGCAGATGTATTCTCCAGAGTCCTGCCGGCCGACGCTGGGCAGCACCAAGCTGCTGTTGACGATCTTGTGTCTCCAGGGCAGAGGAGAGCGCAGCTTGGACCAGGTGATGGTCGGAGAGGGGAAACCTGGAACAGCAAAGCGGAGATGAAAAAACAATTAAGGTGTTTTTTCTTTCACGTGATGATGTGAAACACACGAAGGTTCAAACTGATTCCCATGTGATATTTCAGCCGTTCATTACCGTGAGCCTCGCAGCGCAGCGTGGCAGTCTGTCCCTCCACCACAATCATGAGCGGCTCAGGAACAGACGCTCTGGGCACCGACGGGACTTGGGAGCCTCCCTCAACAAGGACCTCCACCTTGGTCTCCGTGGAGCCCTCGTTGTTGCGAGCTGTGCACACATACGTGCCGCTGTCTTCTGGACGTGCCACGAGTATCTGCACCAGGAGAAAAACGATATAATTCACCATGAGTGAGTACGAAACCACTTATGGTTTTATCTGTAAAGCACATTTTATACACAGGTAGAGGTTCTGTTCAGGGACATTAAAAACAAGACAGAGACTAAATTTAAAGAAATACATTTTAAATCAGACAGAAAAAAGTGAGGGTGAAAAATAATACAAATAAAAGTCGATAGGAATTTGTAAAATAAACATCCGGAGCATCTGTACCTGCATGACTGCGTTGGACTCCATGGGCACCGGGCTGCTCAGCATGGTCTTGCGGTTGCTGTCCAGTCGGTGCCATGAGACCGAGGGGCGCGGCTCTCCTGACGCCTGGCATTCCAGGTTAATGGGTTCGCCCACCCTGATGCGCACGGGTCCAACAGGAGTGACGGTGGCCACAGGAGACTCTGAAAGCACAGAAGGCATCACTCATACGTCTGTGTCCCTGATCGGCCACTAGAGAGAGCCGTTCTCTATGAAGATATGGAAACAGGAGGAGGCCGAGGATGTAATAAACTGTATTTAACTCACCTTTGACAATCAAAGACACGATGGTGTGGGTGATGCCGAACGGGTTGCTCGCCACACAGCGGTAGGCGCCGTGGTTGACAGGGTGAGCACTGCTGATGGTCATAACGGATCCGTCAGAGCTGACTTTGATATTATCTGCAGAGGAGAGGAGCCAACGAGACGTTAGATCTGCTGAGAGGCTTGAATTTAACATAGGGTTCAGTTTGCATGTCCTGTAAAACTGTGGCTGTGGAGGGATCGTTATTAAGATTTAAGAAATAACCCGTTATGGGAGTTTCATGATTCAGTGTTTTGAGAAAGAAAATTTAAATTGGGAACTAACTCTTTGCAGCGTTGAGCAGTTTTAAATCTTGAAGAGACAACACGGGGACGCAGAGTCTAAGAAAACGTAAGCTGAGGACATCTTTGTTAAAATCTAGGAATTTCGCGCTGAGAGGCCTCGTGCTGCCACATTTATTTAAACAATCAAAACGAGTCAGGGCACAAATCTGAGACTGGAGGAAATATATTATAACTGTTTTTATTGAACGTGTTTCCAGAAGGAAAGCCATGAAATCTCAGCAGGAATTAGTAACGTCATGAAAAAGTTTAGTTAACAGTTTAGCAAAAATGTCTCTCAATCAGTCTTTAAATGAAGTAACAGAGAAGTACTTCACGGGTGGATTGCTGCTGTAATTGCTTGTAAATAATGACATCATTAAATCAGAACTCGGTACTCAGGTTTATTCCTCACAGGCGGTCTGCATATGTGTGTGTGTGTGTGTG